AAAATTGGACCACTGGTAACCATATCATCTATTTATTAGTTTCTCAGATACACATTACAGACATTGTTTACATTTGGTATGGAGGCAAGACATAATGGTTTGCCTGTTCTCTTCTTATTTTGGAGTTTCAATAAAATTTAACCAATTGATATAACTGGCTATTTTCTTATATAGAAATAGAAAATTTGAATATTTAATCAACCATTGCTTATGCATTGACCGATTTTCTCCAAACTTACTGTGAACATCACACATGTTTTTAAATGCACGTCAGTTTCTTCAAGTGATTTTATGCAAAATGGTTTGGTTTTATTTTTGATTGTCCTCAACCATTTCTCTGACATACTTTGACCGATTTTCCTTGGCAAGAAAGTTGTCTTTACTCAGTGGGTTATTGATGTACATCATTTATATTTGCGATTTGAATCAAAATGGTCAGTTCGGTTTTTGACTCCGTCTGCCAAGCACACATATAATGGGAGTTATTGCAGTTACCCTGTCTGTATGTATGTGTGTCTGTCTATCTGTTCACTGATATCTCAAGAGCCGTATGTTGGTTTTGAATGAAACTTAGTGTACAGATGCTCTGAGCTAATATGCAGATATTTTTGAAATCCATACACATTAAATATCTGACTTGCATTATAATTAGCTAATTTGTAGCTGTTCCTTGAAGCCATTCATTAGATTTTGATGACACTTGGTACATACATGCTCTGAACTAATGCACAGATGTGATTAGTTTTGGGTAAAAATCCATGCATATAATTAACCTACTTTGCATAATGATTAGTCAATTTTTCAGCTTTTCCACTGATATCTCAGGTACTAATCATCACATTTCAATGAAACTTACATAGATACATAGGATGATGCACAGACAGATATGTGAAATATTAATTACCTAATTTGCATAATTGATCAATTTTGATATTTCAAGTACTATTACTTCATTACTTTTCAATGAAACTTGATACATAAATGCTCTAGAACAATCCAAAGACCCGATTAATTTTAAGTAAAAATGTGTGCATATTAATCAACTATCGTAGTTTGAATAATTAGTTAATTTTTGGCTTTTACACTGATATCGCAAGTACTTATTATCTCATTTTAATGAAACTTGGTACATAGATGCTCCAGAACAATGCACAGACCCACTCAGTTTAACTTATTTGCATAATAATTTACTTTTCAGCTTTCCACTAATAGTTAGGATTAATCCTCACATTATATTGAAACTTAGTATATGTGCGCCCTGAAACAATATACAGACCTAAATCTATGCATAATAATTGCTTAATTTGTATAATAATTCATTTGGTTCATTGAGGTAATCCAGACATGCATATTGATTATCTATTAATTAGTCCATTTCTGATATCTAAAACAATCTGATTTAAATTGAATTTCTTAGGAAGGTGCTCTGGAACTAATTAGACTAAAAACCATGGATGAAAATTCAAATGTATTTTCTGTATGTATGTATTATAAATTTTGATGATGTGAATCACATTTTTTTCATGTTAACAGACAAAAATTAGTTGCCAAGCTTCTTGTTTGAAAAGCAAATCTCCAATACTTCCAGCACACAGAAGTTCTTTCTAAGCTTTCTTTGATTGATAAATGACACATTCATACTTTACCTTGCAATTGAATCATAGGGCTGGCTGACATGTGAAGATACATCATGTGGGCAGCGTACTAGACAAGTACCACGTCATGTACATCGACAAGGACTTGTATGTACTATGTGTCAACGAGCTGTTCTTAAACCTGAGGTATGTACATAGATCTTCACTCCATAGGAATGATTCTGTAATGTAAAACACACTGATATTGTGTATTAGGTATACTACATGGAAATGATTCTGTAATGTACAACATGCTATCATGGTGTATTAGATATACTACATGGAAATGATTCTGTAATGTACAGCATGTTGACATGGTGTATTATGTACACTACATGGGAATAATTCTGTAATGTATGGAATGCTGCCATGTTGTATTAGGTATACTACATGGGAATAATTCTGTAGTGTACAGCATGCTGTCATGGTGTATTAGGTATACTACATGGGAATGATTCTGTAGTGTACAGCATGTTGACATGGTGTATTAGGTATACTACACGGGAATGATTCTGTAATGTACAACACTCTGTCATGGTGTATTAGGTATACTACATGGGAATGATTCTGTAATGTATGGCATGCTGCCATGG